ATAAAAACACACCAGCCAAAAATTAAAATGGAAATTTTTTTAGTCAGAAAAATATTTTCCATGCATTCAATATATTTGACTTCATTAATCTATTTTTCTAATATACATGTATACCTAATATTACAGATTCTAGACAAATACAGAAAGAAACAGAATTCAAAAGTTTTGGCCAAAAGAATCAGTTTCAAGACTATTGAGATTTTTTGAATGTTTTTTTTCTGAACTTAAATGTCAACCCTCCACCGATGCTTGCAGATGCTTACAAACAAAGAACAATCTTGGAATGGCCTTGTCATGAAATATCAATATATAAATCAAGATATTATAAACTGCATGAGGAACCATATTCCATATTCCATCCAAGCACAATGAACAGTTCTAGATATTTATTTGATTGGTAGATGCCACTTTGATTCCTCTATTTCCACTATCTTATGAAAACCTCTGGCATACAAATTCCTCTCTATCCCACAGCTGTCCAACACTATGCCAAACTATTGACAATCTTGCCATAAAATCATTATCTGTAGCACTTTCTTTGGTTTCTCTGAGACTTGCATGGTCACAAGACAATAAATCTTCTATACTACTGAAAATCATGCAAACTCACTCTAGAATGAAATGCACAGTTCATTGGGAAAATTTCAAATCAACATTTCTTTAAAAAGAGGTAAAGATAAAGTCATCATTTAGTTTGAAAATAAATTTTCTTAAGTCTGTGTAAACATGAGTAACTAAAAATTTACAGTTCATACTGATATTAATTGCTTTCATTACTATACCTACATTCCTGTGATGTCATAGATTCAAGTCTTGTTGAGATTTAGCAAGTGTATGTACCAGTGATGCATATTATATGATTACTAATTTTTGTCCACTACTTTCACTGAAAGTGGGTAAATATTAATTTGGGGCTGTCTGTCCATCCATCTGTGAGTCTGTTTTTCTGTCAGTCTCTGTAACACTTTCATTTCTGTGCAATATCTCATGAAGCATTTAACCTTTTGCAATGTCTCTATGACATGAGGAAGACCTGAACTGATTTTGAGGTCAAAGGTCAAGGTCACAGATTCTTAGATTCTGTCTGTCTGAAACTGTGTAATACTTGTTTCCACAAGATATCCCGAAAAGCCTTTGAACTTTTGCAATTACATTTTATACCAAAACTCCCTTTACTGATCCATCTAATGTCTTTTTCAAATGAGTTATGCTTAAAGTTATACAATTACTATTCTTGCCAACTGCCAATCTTAACTTTGTGCATCTTCCTTTCTATTGAATTTATTAAATCTCTAACTTCCTCCTTTAATAAAATGTATTTGCAAGTTCATATTATACTAAATTTGGTAAAGAGCAGAACAAGTCTCTACAGATTCACTTTTGACAACCAAATTTTTTTTTTTTCAGTGAAACCATCTTTAAGCCTATCAAAATATATGAAAGTTACTATCTTGAGGCTATAAGTGATTTTTCAATTTTAAAGTGGCTCTCAAGATTGACAAAATAACATCCTCATTTTTACTGTATAAAATTTTGTTAGTTCAGCCTCACATCCGTGTCTCTAACAGTCAGCTAATGCATGAGAGTTAAAACCTGCTAGATGCAGGTGAGTAAAGTGGATCACAGGCCTCTTGTTCTGTAATTCTTATATCACAAAATCCTTATAATAAGCTCCTATTTTAATGAGGATTCCAACACTAAATCTGTTCCTTTTCAAGTTTGTGATTTATGGGAAACAAGAATTTTCTGCTAATTGGAACATTGTAGGTCTAATGGAAACATACATAAATAACATGGGTAAAAGTTGTTAAAAGTTTCCTCTTCCTTAGATCTTACATAGTCTTAGGTTTCATAAAAATGCAAAAAGGATTAGTTAATGCATGTTTTTTCAAACCAAATAAAACATCAAATGACTACCTTGATGTGTTGAATTTAGAATAATGAAGAAAATAATCTAGAAACATGAACTAACTACTTAGCTTTATAATTATCATCCTGTTCGCTTTCTATACCTGAACTCGAAACTCAGTTTGTCAGATAACTTTTTACATGTTACATTTTAAGGTCATACGCAATGTAGTTTGAACTTTATTGGGTTCTTCCTTGGAGTTGAAGAGTTCCACAAAATGAAGGACCCCTGTGCAATACTTTTAATGACTATGTATGGATTTTTATCCCGCTTCAGACAAATTTGTAGATTGCTGATTGGATAAAAGCTAATCACATGACGCCCTGAAATTTTCCGTATTACGTCTCCGTCGAGGCGTAATATGAAAATCGGGCACGCGATTCCGTTCGAAGCGTTGTTATTGTAAATAAAAATGGCGGCTAAGAAATGGTTTACGTAGGTAGTTTAGTTAAATTTCTTGCTACCGTAATGATATTATATGTTGATTGTTATTGGATTAAAACTTAATACTTTCATAATATGCACAAATATTTTTTTTTTATCCCGCTTCACACATATTTGTCGATTACTATTGGATAAAAGCGAATCACGTGACGCCCTGAAATACGTCTCCGTCAAGGCGTAATATGAAAATCGGGCACGCGATTCCGTTCGAAGCGTTGTTATTGTAAATAAAAATGGCGGCTAAGAAACGGTTTACGTAGGTAGTTTAGTTAAATTTCTTGTTACCGTAACGATATTTTATGTTGATTGTTATTGGATTAAAACTTAATATTTTCATAATATGCACAAATATTTTTTTTTTTTGAAAAAGGTCTTCAGCGGGATAAATTCGTAACACAGTCAGTTAGTGACCTAATACAGATTCATACAGGGTGAAATGGAAATCCGTTTCCATTTCACACCCTGTATGAATCCGTATTAGGTCACTAACTTACTGTGTAACTAATAGTACACCTCCTCTAAAACATTTTTTGATGAAAAATAATCTGGAATTTATGTTTTGTAATTTTTGTGCATTTTTCTTTAAATAATGCAAAATTTTTCACAATTTGATATCTTTTCAAAACCCCTGGTAACGCATGCTGATTTTTTTGTCTAAGAACAATTAATGATATTGTAAGTTTAAATTTAGAATATCTTGAAACATTATCAGTAGGTGAGCTACCTTGTGTATGTCCTTAAAGCAAACTTGCCAGAGAGCCTTCTTTGATAGAGGCCGGGATTCGATTTTGGGTACATGTATCTCAAAAGGAAGGCTTAACTTGGGAGGTTAAATTCATAAATAGGAAAATATGATGAGGTCATAAAAAAATGATAAAGTCACTTTGTAAAGAACCACTAAGCAAAATAAAAAAGCTTTATATATGTAAGCTTCTTCAATCCAATATGTAAATTTACAGTCTGAGGCTGGACAGGTAGAGTCTGGCAGTCACAATTATGGTATAGGGAGATACAAGGAATAATGAGTAAAACATGGTTATAAGTAATATAACCAATACACTTAAAATGAATTGACACGAATAGCGAAGTGATTTCATTGCTTTAAAATATACTTCTGAATCCTTATAATTACAATATATGGTTGCGGCCCTATGCTTGGTCGTGGCCCTATGCTCCCCAAGGAGTGAACAGGAATAAGTCAAGTCATTATAATCATGTTGTATGGTATTATTTTCTTTTGACTCCCACTTGTCTCCCCATCCCTGCGGTTCAGGGTGAGACCACAAAAATGATTTAATTGAAACCTTTTCTTTAGATCATGAATTCTATTCCAGTCAGATCTTATAAACTGGTTTTACAGATATTATAACATGTATATCTTATATAACAGTAATCTGTCATCATTGAAATTCTTAAAAAAATGCATATTAACAAGATACATGTAACAGTTTTGATATTACTTAGTTTAAATGGATGGTACATTCATATTTGATTTCATCAAATCGTACCCCTGTGATCCTACCACTGACTCACAAAATTCTAGGGCCTATCGGCTTCAGTGTCAATCTGTAAGCAACCTTTTGTGAGATATATTATAACACAAAATCAATTCAAATAATTTTTTAATCATTTTATATTTATGGAGTTATCAACTTTTTCAACAGTTAAACCATCTAGAAAACTAGTCAACCTATTACCTGACCAGCATAATCCATAACACCAAACCATAGTCTATATAATTATTCCTCTGTTTGATAAAAGGTGTACCCACCCAGCTTTTTTATGTGATATGAAATAAAAACTGGACACAAAAAAATCAAAACACAAAGTGGGCTTAGTATTATTCATGTGTTTATGTGTTGAGTTTAAATCTGGCTGTCAAAGATTTATAAATAAATTTGTCTACATACTGAAGATAACATTTATCTCGAGTATTAATATGTCATACTGTGCATGCATATCAACCATACACAATAATAAGTGTGTACCGCATGGATAAAATCATCAACCGAAAAGTCAGCCATTTCTCTACAGGTATTCATAAAAAATTTGCATATCAAGCTTAATGCGAAGTTTTTTAAAACTGAAAGTTTAATACCATAAATATTTGATGTCACATATCAAAAGCACAAGAAAATCTTGTCGAGATCAAAACACATGCAAGATGGACAAATACTAGATAATTTTGTTACAAACTCATCATCATCAGACATGTTTAGGTTTGTAATAGTCCTAATATCAGCTGTGTTTACACAAGGAGAGTATGGGGTCCCTACTGAGCAAGTCAACTAAATAGCCAGCTGACGTTTTCGGTCACCTTTATTCCGAACAAAGGCTTTAAACAAAATTACTAAGTTTAACACAAAATATTCACGCAATATTGTGCTCTATCCATTCACCAGACCACCGTGTACCCGATTATACAACACCGTATTACAATATAGCACCGATCACAAGGATCCATGTCCCCAGTTTGAAGGACATTTATAAACACCAATAAAACATTAAACAATTATATTTTTTCGCTACGAGAAAGTTAATCCGCTTTTATAAATAACCAAAGACGACGACTATAAAATAGTGTTTAAAATAAAAATACAGGTGAGACGACCCCTCGGCGATCCCCAGGTGTGACAAAATTCCTTACCTCTAGAGTATGTGACGGCAGTTACCCAAATCAAAAACACGGTGGGGAAAAGTGCAGACGGCAATTTCGCCTGCATGGCGGGCTAAGAGCCTTCCCTGATCCTTTTAAGTTGCACTCTTACTTAATCTGAGGATTTGCACACACATAGGAAATTCACAGTAAATCCATTGCATTTCCCACACCATGTGCCCGTGTTGAAGTTTCCACTAAGAGCGTTTGAATGATGTTGACTCGGAAATACGTGACGTCAGTTTTCGTATTTTATTTTTAGAATGGGGAAGTCGCAATTTATTTAAAGAGGGACAACTCCAACTTCCACATAGGCTATTTATTTATTTTCCGAAAGTACATTTTTTAAAATAATTATATAGCATAGATTTAAAAATCTATTTTATACCACAAAATAGCCCCTACTTTTTCCCAAACACAACATTTTTTTTTCAATATTGAAATTGTTCTTTGAAAAATTGACCCCCCACACACACTTTCTGTTGCCCCCCTCCCCCACCCCCGCTTTTGATCTCGTGACCTTGACCTTGATGTTAACCAATTTTTCAAGAATTTTAACATTACTTCAAATTGGTCATAACTTTTGAAAGAGAAAAGATAGGGCTTTCATATTACAATTGAAGACCATTCTAAATATATAACCAAAAAAAGAAACCTGACCCTGTGAGCCTTGACCTACTTTCAAAAAATGTTATCTTTGCTTTTAACTTTTAATTGAAAGAGAAAGGGCTTTCATACCTGACATGTATATTACCTATTTGAGGTACTATGATGTTTTACCCTGACCTGTTTGACATATAATTTTGTATATGTCAAACAGGTCAACTTTAACTTTAACTTTAGTGGTTACATGTACTTTGAATGACATATGATAGGGCATTCATATTTGATACATTATACCATAAATAATGGCATCCCATCCACTAAGACACCAAAAACAGGGGACCAAATTTCTTTGAATTTGCTAATGTTCTTAAGATCAATTTTTATGCCCCCTGGGGTAAGTATGCAGGCGCGTAGCTGCCTATACGCAAGTACGCAAGTGCGTACACATCATTTTCCAAAAAAAAAAATAGAAAGAAAGAAAGAGGGATAAAAGAAAAGAAGGAAAAAAAGAAAGAGAGAAATTTATTCGGGAAAAAAGAGACACTACCCGTGTTTCAAATTATTTTGCGTGTTATTTTTTCGATTCAAATTTTTTTCAGCATGTCTGCACATTCAAATTTAGTCCTTTATAAAATCAATTTCAAAACATCTTTCAACATTCTTGAGAAAAAAAAATACACATGTATTGTTGAACCAAAATTTTCCACTGTTATTCCGCGTAATCCTGATTATCCGGACAAATATTTGATGAAGGAAAGCCATCTAAGGGACTTTGATCCAAAGAAAAAGTTAGAAAGGTCTTGAACGACTATACAAGATTTTTAATATCCGTAGAGGTAATGAATAAATGTCGGTAAACAATTTAAGTTATGGTGAACAAAATAAATAATAATATAGCATCTCTTAATGATGTTACCAATTTAAAGAATTATATTATAATTGAAGCATTCTCGAATCGTTTCAGCCATCAAATATGAAGGTAATCAAAAAACAACAACACTCCCTATATATTTTGAAATATTTAAACTCCAATGATAACGATATTATCTTGATACAATTGGAAACTTTTTCCAATACCAATATATGCGTATATTAATTTGATAAATTATCGTTCTCTTCCCGAAGTATCAATGGAAGCAGTATAACTTAGCTACGTTAGTAAGTGTTTGCTCGAGAAAAGTGATATTATCATGATTTCTTTTGCAAGAAAATGACTGAAAAATTTCGTAAATCCAGGAGCTTCCGGGGGCCTCGCCCCCTGGGCCCCCACCAGGGCTTCGCCCTGGACCCACTGGGGGCCTCAGGGCGGCCCCCAGACCCCCGACCGTTTTCTGCGTACACTTCATTTCCATGCTGACTATGCGCCTGGTATGTCCATCACTCTGGCTACTGGTACCAGTCTGTCTGTTTGTCCAAAAAAATTTAACCTTTATATGGTATATTTGATTTCTAGACCTTCCAGTTTGACATATGGCCACTTTTAGAAAAATTTAGCGAACTTTTTTCTTGACATTAACTTTCAAACAGTTGGAGCTAGAACTTTGAATTCGTATTTCACATGTTTATTCATTGTGACAAGACCTTTCCATGAATATAAATATTTGTTGACCTTGATCCTTGAGGTTGACCCATGTTGATCTTGGACAATACTTTTGAAAAGTATTAAGTAGTATGGCTTTTATATTTCACAAGTATATCCATTATAACAAGGCTTTCTTTTGGAAAGCAACATATTTGACCTTGATTACAATGCCTTACCCTGTGTAGCTTCTTTGACCTTGACCTTCAAGTTTGACATTGTTTAAAAACTTTAACCTTGGCTATAACTTTTGAATGGTTAGAGCTAGGGCTTTCATAATTAAAGGTACAAGTTCTTTCTTGGGGTAACCATTTTTAATCTCTATTGAGGAACCTTCAGCCTTTGTCAATGCTGGGACATCAATGTGTTGTTCAGCATATTTCAGAATGTAAAACACAGACATCCCTTTAATGGCTTGTCCTCCCCATACCAAGAGTTGAGGGAAGGGGACATGATTTGAAGAATGTAAACTTAACCTATTGGTAGCTTTCATGTTAAAATGCCATAACATGATTCTACTGTACTAAGAGAAGAAGACTTCCAAGATTTTCCCCCTATATATTCCACAATATCAAGCCTAAATTTGGCCTTCTATCAGTGCCGTTCTTGTAATAATGATTCTTAGAAGATTTTTCTTCCTGTTGCTCCAATTTAAAATAATTTAACACCTTTAAGTGGCTTAACACACCTGCCCTCTCCTGGAGGGCATGGACTAAGGAATCTTGAGTCCACACATCTTAAGGATGCTTCTATCAAATGACTAAACATGGCGCTTAGTTCTAGAGAAGAATTTAAAATGTTTCCAGTATATTCTCATATTAATTAAACTTTAATCCCATATTGTGACTAAAATTTCTACCCTATGAAGCTACTGGTATATTTGTGACAAAAGTGAATCTGTACTACCTGAGGATGCTTGTATAATGTATTAATTCTCATCTTACTGTTCTCGAGAAATGATCAAGATTTCTTCCAAAGCAATATTTCCTGTAAACTCAGTTCTTCTTAATGTGGCCCCCCGATTTGAACAACCTTGAGTCTACACTACCTGAGTCTGCACTACCTGAGGATGGAATGTTCTTTATCAATCCAACTTATCAAGGCATGTGTAACTTTCATACAGGTTCTTTTTTAATTATTATTTATTTGCAAAATGGCAAATATTATATTAAAAGTAAATAAAGTAACATACTGATTTTTCGTACATTTTTTATACATTGTAATAAAACATTAAAGAAGTTTTTTTTTTTAGAAATCTTGTTATAATTTTATGTGACTGGTTTTATTTCATGTGGTTCTCAAAAAGTTTTTTATTTTTTTACAAAGATAATGCCATTAATTATTTTCAACAATTCTTAATCATCTCTCATTGAAAGAAGGCTTAAACTCTCAGTATAAGTACTGGTAAACCTGGGATTGATGTGTCCATTTGTAAAGGGTTGCTCTGTTTTGTGATAGCCTAAATTGTTTTACTTATAAGTAATATGGAAAGGGGAATTAAAATGCACATAAATAACAAAAATAAATTTTAACCATTTATTTCATTTAAATATTTAAAAATTGCATTAAATTGTTAAAACATATCTACATATATTTATATATACAAATAATCAATTGGTTATCTAAAAGCAAATTAAAACAATACTTTAAAAAATGTCAGACTCCAAACTGTTTTTCTTGTTTTGTTTCTCTTTTCTCATTTTGTAACTACCTATTAAGAGAAACTAGGTCTTAAATTAAATTATATAAATGAATTACATACTCTTAGAATATAGCTTGGGAACTGAATCAATTCAATATAATCCTTATAATAGAAAATAAATACAGAAAAAAATTAATCTTCAGGGGTATTTTTTTTTATTCTGAATAGTTCATAGATTCTGAGACACTGAATTTACTTGCATTCATTAAATTTCTAATACATGCCACCTTTCATTTGCTGGAGTGACTATTTTGGATCTAAGATCCTAATTTTTTAGCCTTAAACTTGTAGGAAGATGCTTTAACATCGATATGAAAATAAATGAAAAATTTATATTTTTTCTTATCATAAACCAACAGTGAGATTTTTACCCCCCCCCCCCAAAAAATACATTAATCTAAATTCTACATGCTGTTTAGATTTTGAAGTCCTAATAAAATTCTTCCTGCATAGCTACTGGTAAAAAATACTCATCAGCCTATTTAATCCTTTTTTTTAAAGAAAGCTTCTTTGTCGCACTTGTTAATACTGTTCTTTTGAGACATCATGGTTCAATTAATACCCTAACAAATTTATCAAGTCATGATAATCGAGATAAACCATAATGGAAATATTATGCACCAGCATCATAAAAATTGGATGCATTGTACAAGTAGTACTCAGTGGAAATATGCATACAGGACAAATCCACAGCCAAAAATACAGTAAAACATGGTTACAGTGATTCCACTAATAACTATTTCATGCTTATAGTGAAATGATTTCATTACCTGTAGACTTAAAAGGCATTATAAATTTATAATTTACATAATTACATAATGAATTATGTTTAAAAAAATTCAAGATGTTCCACTCTTACATGTTTTTCTGTATGTACAGTCATCAAATGCATTAATACTGACAGCAGCATTGAAAATCTTGTCCCAGCTGTGAGAGCTGATAATCAACTCAACCCTGTTTTCTTAATTATAAAAGTAATTAATTAGTATCACAGACAAAAAAAAATCCAGAGATGAATATGAAGCACGTTAATTTGTTGCAGCAATCATGGCCTTCGGCATGGTCTGGTCAACTCTAGAGGAAACATTTTTGAACCTATAAAAAGAAAAAAAATATGCTGCATCATTCTGGATTTTAACCTTAGCTGTTTACAGGATACACAAAACTAGCTCTTGGAAATTATAGTAAATCAACTCAAAATTCAGACTATGGTATAAAAGAAAATGAGCAATTTGCCACAGTCATAAAAACTGAGTAGAACAATTAGTGTCTTGTCTGTTCAGCATTAAAAAATTTCTGAGGTAAAATGTTGAATGCAATGACCTGCTCCCTATTTTGACTTACTTGGACATTTTGAAGAGCTCCTTCTCGGGGGCGGTTTTCTTTGAGGCTGTTGTGGAAGACACGGCTGAGCGACTGGAGTTATGAGCCGAGTCTACAGCATGTCCTCGTCTCCTGTAACAAAAAAAATAAAAATTATCCTGTCATCTCCACACAGAGGATTTTAACATACCAAAATTTGAATTTATCTATAGGTTGGAATTGATGGTCCTTAGCACTTTTTTTATACATTTAATTTCAATGTGTGAATCCCTTGAATATTTTGAATTTTTCTACTCAGTCTTAATTTGTTTTGAGATAAAAAGATTTGACTGTAGTATAGAACAATCTTAATCAACCAAATCAGACTTACTGTGGCTGGTACACGGGTTGCCTGGCTTTGCCGATGGTTGTGTTATACTCAGACACTAGAGGCTCCTTATTCTGAGGCCCCTGTGAAGCTATCATCTGTCTGTGTTTTTCCCTCAGTCTGTCCTGCTTATATTCCCATTTACGAACTTCATCCTGCCATTCTCTGTCATAAGCATAGGACAAGAGTTTGGTCATTTTGGGCTTCTCTGTCTTATCTGATGCTTCAGGTCTGTACAAATAAAAAAATTTCAAAAAACAATTCTAGATCCATAAGTAAGAAAGGAAGTTTTTTAAAGAATGGTGTGAATACAAAGTTCATAGAATTAATGACTTAAAACAAAACTTGACCACACTTCACTGACAATAAATTTTTTCCTATACATACAAAGGTAAGTATTTCAGTCTGTCTCGGCCATCTTCCCTTGTGGCCATTTTGGCAGTAGCGACTTGCTGGGAGGTTTTCATGCCTGCAGGGGGAGGGGGAGCTTTCTTGGTCCTGAAAGGTTTACTGCTTCGTACACCGTACCCAGGCTTGATCACTTCTGGAAGCTTGACGGTTTTGTCTGTTGCCCCCTTCCCATCTCGCTCAAAAGCTGATACATTATCAAAACCATAGGGTGCTCTTCTTGGTCTTTCATAAGAATCTGACTGTGCATCTGGATTGAACACTTCATGGTACATGTACTCAGGTACGGTAAACTGGTATGGTCTAAAATTAAAGTATAATTAAAGTCCTCACAAGTATGTTAAGTGTAGATATGAAGTACTTCTTTGATAACATAAAAAATGATGATACATTTAGTGGAGTGTATCAATAAACCTTAAAGAAAAAAAGGTACAGTCAAACTTTATTAGCTTAACCTTGATGGGACCAAAAAAACTTCAAGATTTCAAAGGATTTAAAGAATAACTGATTGGGACTTCAAAAATCACTTTGACATACCCATGGTATTTAACATAATAGTGTTTGAGATACCTAAGTTCAACTGTATCTACAAAATTGATCTAAATTATAATGTAAAAATTAAACCATGAACAATGGTAAACACAAAAATCAAGTAATATTTAACAATTTATATATATAGTTATACAATACTTCACTTTTTTTTTTTATATTATCAACATATTTTTTTTCCACAGAGGTCATAAATATGTGGAATCACAATTTCAGTACAAGCCATGGGTATAGTGAAAAAAAACTATCACACACAGAAAAAAACTATGACTACAGTATTTCACAATGAATAATCCATTTTCTACCTCACTTTTACTCTAGTTTACCACTCCCAGAATTAGATATTCCACCTACTCTGTTTTTTCTTTCTCCTCCTCTGCTTCCAGTCTATTGTCTTCTAGATAAAACCATTCATTCCTAGGATACGATACAGGCTCCCTCTCTCTCATGTTAAGATTCTCCTTGAATTGGAGTAAAGCTAAGTAAACAATTAAAAGAAAATGAATAATCTTATATAAAAAAAAGAGATATTGGCTATATATTTTTTTAACTTTTAGAATCCTGCATATTGTCATCCTTGCAATGCCAGGGGTTCTGAATCAAAATGTTCGGTCCAACAACAATTAGTTGTTGACTCAGGACCCCTGGTATTGTGAGAATTGAAAATTGGTTGGAGCTGTTTTTCTACAAATGTAAATGCACAAAACAGAAACAAAATTTTCATTGTATCTGATTAATCACCACTATTAGCTTACTTTGTCTGCCACCAGATTTGGCTAGACGAACATATTTGGTGTCGGTGTCTTTGAACAAAGACCTCTGGGCCTCCTCCTCAGGGGGAAGATCAGTATTCAGCCCTGGAATCTGGGAGGTGTAGGGAACTGGCACTGGTTCAGATTTTGGCTGTCTTTTAGCAGGAGCATGGTAAAACCAGCCTAGAAGGAAAGTACAAAGAAAAAATATAATTCATACATTAAACCTTCTTGAAATGTCTTTAATTTCTTGAATCTATGACTAAAGGTCCAACCATGACACCGTTTGTAAAATTGTGTCCCTTTGAGGTGTCATCAAAAAAGAAACAATAAATCTTTTCTTTTGATAACAGTAATGTATGTTAAGATCTTTTTTTTTGGGGGGGGGGGGGTTATTATACAGATATTTTTATTCATAAATTAAATCTAATGAGTGCATTGTTGAACAATTTCAATAAACATTAAAGCAATAGTAGAAATATCACAACGACTTAGCGATATAAATATTAGGGATTGTTCTTATAAATATGTATACTTACCACATTCCTTTATATTTTTATTCGTGGCCATTGAAACTGTTTGTAAATATCCTTTGAATATATTGCTACTGATTGTAAATACACATGGCCGACATAATATAAACGTCGTTATGGATACAGCTGATTTGCTTTTCGAACCCGACGATATTACATGACCAAAAACCTGTTTCCGGTGTAAACAATACAACGTGGCCTGCTACAATAATTGATGTTTTCGACTTTTATTACCCGTCTAGCTCTTATTGGAATATTTATTCGAGGTGACTGTTCTGGCATTCATCACTGTGTGAAGTCGAATTTTGACGATAACAGCTGTACTGCCGCGAAAGAAGGGTTAAAATCCGATGAACTGACAATGGCATTAGTTCCATACGATGCCAATAAAGATATTCTAGCTATCTTTAACAAACCAGAGCGAGTGTTTCATTTTGCTGGAAAGGAATTAAAGATACCACAGGACTGGAATAACTTAGGCGTAGCGGCTGTTGTCTGGGATGCGGTAGATTTATTTACACATATTCTAAAAATTTAATTTGTATCAAACACACACTGATTTAGGTTAAAAACTTGTCACAGACATCTAAAAGTGTATCAATAGGCTGCATATAAAGAAATATATGAAAAAGCGTTGCCTTTGACTATGATGAGGGTCAGGTGGCAACTTGCTGATAAAATGTTCAGGTACTTGTGAAAGTATGAAATCAATCAGGACTGGACAGGACTAAGAGTCATAGGCTATGAGTAGGCTAATTTAGTTACTACTATCATAGAGTAGATGACTCTTTTTAGAAAGGTTATGATGAACTATTGACTTCTCAAACAGAGATAGGCCATCTCGGTCTTTGTTTCCCATCTGTGTGATACTGCATATATAGAATTTCTTGAAATTTCAGATAGGCACAGTCATAACCTCAATGATAGATTTTGGAAGCCTTGGCTCAGGTGAGCTAAAAAGGCTCTTTATTTAACAACTACGATATATGCAAATGGTCTTAAAGACTTATTATTTTCTGTATTGTAGGCAGTTGTTCTTTCTGAATACCTAGAAGCAGGGCATGTACATTTGGAGGGAAAGAGAGTGATAGAACTTGGAGCAGGATCTGGTCTAGTTGGTATGGTGGCTACATTACTGGGTGAGTTCTGCTCAGAACTTCAAATCGCTTGTACTTCATGTCATACAAGGTCTCAACCAGATTCAGTATGAAAAGACTGTTCTTTATCATTTGCGTTTCAAACAGGGGCTGAAACGATTCTGACAGATCAAGAAAAAGCAATTCCATATTTAACTAAAGTAGTTACCAGCAATCTACCTGAGGAACTTAAAGGAAAATCTGAAGTGAAGGCCTTGGACTGGCAAGGAAATTTAGAATCCTACCAAGAGACATTTGATGTGATCCTGGGAGCTGACATTATATACATTGAAGACACCTTTCCTGACTTGTTGAGAACTATTGAACACCTTAGTAATGAAGAGACATTAGTTTATATTTCTTGCAGAATAAGATATACAAGAGATTCAAACTTTTTGAAAATGTTTTCAGATGTGTTTGAACTGAAAAAGGTTCATGTTGATAGACAGCGGGATATTACAATCTACAAAGGGAGGAAAAAACCTAAATGAAACATGGTACATGTATATAAATATGGTTATCAGAAAAGACTGCAGAAAGTACTTTTATCAGATATAAGATTGAAAGGCCAGAATGCATTGTTTTTAAATTTGTAAAAATGTTACACTGAGTAATTTAAATGATGATATCTTGCAAAGGTTATACTCTAGAATAAGCTTGTCATTTATCACAGTTTCATGCAGAAGCATTCTCTTATATTGTTCAAAAAATGAGTTCAAATGAATTTAAAGATAGTCTTTTACTGATAAGTAAGAATTTTACATAGTATTTTCTCTTGTGAAAATAAAGTACATATATTTTAAATATATTAAATAAAACATTAAGAACAATAAATTTCATATTTTACAAAAAGTCGTTGATCATTTCTTCGATCTTTAAGATTAGTTTATTAGCCCTGCTTTCACATTCAGGTAAAGAAGTAAATTCTGAAGTACAAATCATATCACTCAATATGTCCTGGACACTGTGAAGATCAAATACACAATGATTTATCTGCCCCTCATCCATAGGCAATCCTTTATCTATAGTCAAGCTCATAGAATTATTTCCCTTTGTTTCTCCTGTTGATTTTTCTTCTGGAACACAAATGGCATTACCATGATTACATGTAATACCTTGAGTTTTGCCTGGTTCATTTTGATGTATGTCTGATTGATTTGTCATAAGCTTTATCTGGTTTTGCAGAAGTTTTATCCTGTTAAGGGCAATGACTTCCATAAACTGTAGAAACTCCTCATAATCAATTCCACAGCTTGCCTTTAGGATCAGCTAAGTCATGTAAAATTGTAGAACAATGTCATTGTTAACATCACTATAAACCATAGCAAAGAGTCAAAGATCTTAAAAAACAGCAACTATTTATTCATCATAATTATTAACAGTGATTCAAAATACCAATTCTGTGTGTCTGTCATGTCAAGATTTTTACCTAAGTGTGTTTGTCTGTCTGTTATGTCAAGATGTTTACCTGAGTTTGTCTGTCTGTCATGTCAAGATGTTTACCTGAGTTTGTTTGTCTGTCTGTCATGTCTAGATGTTAACCTGAGTTTGTTTGTCTGTCTGTTATGTCAAGATGTTTACCTGAGTTTGTTTGTCTGTCTGTCATTTCTAGATGTTTACCTGAGTTTGCTTGTCTGTTATGTCAAGATGTTTACCTGAGTTTGTTTGTCTGTCAGACATGTCTAGATGTTTACCTGAGTTTGTTTGTCTGTGTGTTATATCAAGATGTTTACCCAAGTTTGTTTGTCTGTCTGTCTTGTTTAGATGTTTACCTGAGTTTGTTTGTCTGTCTGTCATGTCTAGATGTTTACCTGAGTTTGTTTGTCTGTCTGTCATGTCTAGATGTTTACCTGAGTTTGTTTGTCTGTCTGTCATGTTTAGATGTTTACCTGAGTTTGTTTGTCTATCTATCATGTTTAAATGTTTACCTGAGTTTGTTTGTCTGTCATGTCTAAATGTTTACCTGAGTTTGTTTGTTTGTCTGTTCTGTCAAGATGTTTACCTGAGTTTGTTTGTCTGTCCTGTCAAGATGTTTACCTGAGTTTGTTTGTCTGTCTGTCATGTTTAGATGTTTACCTGAGTTTGTTTGTCTGTCTGTCATGTTTAGATGTTTACCTGAGTTTGTTTGTCTGTCTGTCATGTTTAGATGTTTACCTGAGTTTGTTTGTCTGTCTGTCATGTTTAGATGTTTACCTGAGTTTGTTTGTCTATCTGTCGTGTTTAAATGTTTACCTGAGTTTGTTTGTCTGTCTGTCATGTTTAGATGTTTTTCAATGTGTGTACACCTGTTGTAACAGAGTATGTGTGTTCGTGAGAGTACCCCTCTGTTGTTACCTGAGCTTGTGTGTCTGTTTGTGTGTACACCTCTGTTGTAACCTGAGTTTGTGTGTACTAGTGTGTGTGTTCACCTGTTGTAATAGAGTTTGTGTGTTTGTGAGTGAACACCTCTGTTGTTACTGATTCTGTGTGTGGTTACTGAGAGTCCGTGTGTCTGTCTGTTTGTACACTTCTGTGTTATCTGAATCTGTGCATCTGTGTGTACATCTGTGTAGTTACTTAGTCTGTGAGTCTGTATATCTCTGTGGTTACCTGAGTCTGTACATCTGTGTAGTTACTTAGTCTGTGTGTCTGTACATCTCTGTGGTTACCTGAGTCTGTACATCTGTGTAGTTACTTAGTCTGTGTGTCTGTACATCTCTGTGGTTACCTGAGTCTGTACATCTGTGTAGTTACTTAGTCTGTGTGTCTGTACCCCTCTGTGGTTACCTGAGTCTGTACATCTGTGTAGTTACTTAGTCTGTGTGTCTGTACATCTCTGTGGTTACCTGAGTCTGTACATCTGTGTAGTTACTTAGTCTGTGTGTCTGTAAATCTCTGTGGTTACCTGAGTGTGTACATCTGTGTAGTTACTTAGTCTGTGTGTCTGTACATCTCTGTGGTTACCTGAGTGTGTACATCTGTGTAGTTACTTAGTCTGTGTGTCTGTACATCTCTGTGGTTACCTGAGTCTGTGCATCTGTGTAGTTACTTAGTCTGTGTGTCTGTACATCTCTGTGGTTACTTGAGTCTGTACATCTGTGTAGTTACTTAGTCTGTGTGTCTGTACATCTCTGTGGTTACCTGAGTGTGTACATCTGTGTAGTTACTTAGTCTGTGTGTCTGTACATCTCTGTGGTTACCTGAGTGTGTACATCTGTGTAGTTACTTAGTCTGTGTGTCTGTACATCTCTGTGGTTACCTGAGTCTGTGCATCTGTGTAGTTACTTAGTCTGTGTGTCTGTACACCTCTGTGGATACGTGGGTCTGTACATCTGTGTGTGTACCTCTGTGTAGTTACTTAGTCTGTGTGTTTGTACACCTCTGTGATTATCTGAGTCTGTACATCTGTGTGTGTACCTCTGTGTAGTTACTTAGTCTGTGTGTCTGTACCCCTCTGTGGTTACCTGACATTGCTGATCCCAGCCTTCCATCCCTCTACAGTCCTCAATCTCCCGCTGGACTTGGACCAGGTTGTTCTTGATGTACTGCCAACAAATGTCTACATTACAACCATTCAGCCAGTTATGATTAATCGAGATGGTATCTTCCTAAATTGAACAGAATTATCATAACCTAGAAAATACTCATTGACATTTAGATATTTAGGAAATAGTAATATTAGTAAAAACTTTTTTAAATACCAGTATTTATTTGTTGTCAGAAGTAAATGCATTTTCTATGCATGTATAATAATGTATTTGTAACAATTCATCTTAAAAATATCTGATATACTTAACTTTATTTCTTTCATAATAGATTTGAAAAGTGCAACACAGAAGACTTCAGCTTCTTTGATTTTCTATGATTAAACACAATGATAAAATGGTAGAGGAATACAGGTGTTTCGGGTTAAAAGATTAAGTATCTTTAAAATAATTTATATAAACACTTTCCCAATACTTTGTGTTAATGGACAAACCAAAGTTCATGTATTAGGATATCAATCATACCCCTCCCCAGTTCTAAAGCTCTATTCATTAAGCAAATGTTGTTTTCAAGTTTTCATCCACTGTGGTACTTGGATATACATGTGCAGTCAAAAGGAATATCAAACATGAATTTATTCTCAAGATTACTTTAAGGGGGCCGACTATAGTTTTTTTGTGTGAAAACTACAATAGCGAAACTCTTCATTTTTATACCATATATAACTCACATTAACTTCAGTGTACATGCAAAGTTTGGGGGAAATCTACCGTCCAGGTATTTTTGAGGGACCGTCTCAAAATACAGGTACATTTACTAAAGGATTATATAGGAAAATGCCAATTTTTAGCACTTTAAAGCAAATTATACAAATACTACAATAGACATTTTGTTCAAACTATAATATTTGATGAGTAATACTATATTATACAATATATGTAAGAAACACAAAATTCTACCGTCTTGTTACCAGAGGGGGCATCTCAAAATGCAAAAAATTAGCAATTTTTACTATTTATATAGAGTATTACAAAATATGACGTACACAATGGATTCAAATGAAAACATAATAAAAATATTGGAGATATTCTCAAATTTCTATGTTTTAAATTTCAAGAGCGTATGTTTATTACTTTTTCTTCAATAATATTTTTATTACCCCTTTCTTTAAGAGCTACAGATTATCATAACGTCAAAAACACACTGCAACGACGTCAACCTACCTACCAATTGCAAAACCGGTTAAAAAATCAGTTATATCAAATTGTAATTACATTTGTATACCTATAATTAATTATTTTTGTTTAATTTAAATAATTAAGCGAAAAAAGTTGCATTAAAACAGTAAATACGCTTTATTTTACTATGATGCGCGAAATATTGCGCAATGAAAACTATAGTCGGCCCCCTTAAATCCTAGACTCAATATCCATGCATGCTATAGTTTGTGAAGATTTTTAAATGAGAAGGAAGTTCTCACCAAATTATAGACTTGGTGATGCCATCCACTGGGAACATAAATTATCTCCCCTGCCTCTTGTATGATTTCTATCCTAGATTTCACTTGAGTATATTTTGGGTACAAGATTACATCATCCAAATCACTTGAATTCACATCATAAACCAAATGTCCATATTTATTGCATAGATTTTCTTCTTCACCTGAAACAATATTTACATGTATATCAGTATAATGCATCTTTCTTTATGTGTGTTTTTTTAAACTTGTACAAAAAAGAGGTTAAGAAAAAACAAACATTTACCTGGAGGATAGAATATCCACCTCTTTTTCCCACAAATATTGGCAGACCAGCTAAACGACCTGAACACATCTGCATGGAAAGGTGTCCTGAAAAATAAATTTCCATCTCCGACAAGTCAAATTTTGTTGTCAGCTAATGCTCACAACAAATATTTTGATAAGGTACAGGGAATACAATTGAACTTGGGTATCTTAAACACTGATATCTCGTGAATATGTTGAAGTGATTTAGAAGTCCCAACCACATAATAATATCTCTTATTAAGTAATTTACCCTTGATATCTTGAATCTTTTGATATGTTGCATTTCTTTCTCAGTCCCATGGAGTTTGAGAATAACAAGAATTGACTATTAATATAAGTCATTATTATATGGAGGTAAGAAGGTTACTGTTTAGATATTCCACATTTACCAAGAGCCTTTGGGTCCCATGTAAACAAATCTGTAATCATCCCTGTCTTCCCTTGTGTCCCAGAACTCATTCAGCCAGTCTGACGTAAAGCCACACGGAGTCTCGTAGGCTTTGTATTCAGGAAACTCTCTACAAATCAGGAAATTTATGATCTTAATTGTTAAGAAAATGGTTGCAAAACCCATGTTTATCTTATAAATGCTGCAAGTGTTGGAAAAAAATTAAATGAAATCCTGCCTATCTTTTAGATGTGCCCATCTTAAAGGGTCCCTCTCTTTCAGGGCATTATAAAAGGGCTTTTAAAGGATTAAAATTGGTGTAAGACCTTGACATTTAGCTTAGATCTTTACTCACAGAAACTCTTTGGATAAGGTATGGGCCAGTTCATTGATTTCACACAAATCTGCAATGACCTTTACCTTTGATATAAAAAAATAGTTCTAGGTCACTGCATATCCTTTACCCATTGCATAGGGACTCTGCAGGTAAAGCATGAATCTGATATGGTCAAAAGAAAAGTATATATGCTTTGGACAAGGATTTTATCACAGACTACATGGCACAGAGGATCAGAATGAGGCATTATTTTTGCGAACTTGTTCACCAGAAAACTTGATGGACTCGCATGAAAGTAAAATTCTAATAAAAGCAGAAGTTTGAAAACTCAACTCCTGCTATTGAAAGTTGTCAAACCTGAGAAACTTTGACTTTTTTAGCAACATAAAGGTTGGGTGACAAAATTGAGACAACAAATCTAAGCGACAGAAGTTTACTAAAAAATTGTGACATCATTGTTTTTACAGTGTGCAAAGCCAAAAGATAATGTTGGATTCATCTGAGGTGAGTAGAATTTACTAATGATTACACAAATAAAACTGTGCTTGTCCTTACAGATTCACTGTCAAATATATATACTGTGAAATCACAAATTTTCGGCGGGGGGGGGGGGGGAGTAAATTTTCGCTCATCATTGCTTTCGAGGTATGAAGAGAACCACAAATTCATTTCCACCATGAAATGTAAAATGTACATACATAACTACTCAACAATTCTTTCATACACAAATTCAGATCCCCACGAACCAAGAGTTTTTACCCAAACCACGAAAATTTGATACCACGAAAATATATTATATAATAGTATACAAGAAAATGCTATCCTCCTTGTACATATGCTTATGGACTCTATGCATTATTTACAGAAAATATTTATCAACAATCTGACTTGTAGGACACCAACCTTATGAAGTGCCAGTCTTTTAAATACAAATTATCCATGCTATCAGGGTAGCCTGTCTCTATGTAGCTTTGCCAATAGTCCAAGAAATCAGAGAAGGTTTTCTCTTCTTTGGGCTGTGAAGAATATTTCTCCTTTTTGCAGTTTGCAACAGGCACACAAGCATGACCTTTGAATACAGACAACAATCATACTTCTCTCACAAATTCAATTAATCTATCAAAAATTTTAGTGAAGCTTTGAAAACAAATTACATGGATCAAGTTAGAAAAATTGTTGATCATGAAATCTGGATATAGCTAGTGTATAACAGGTGTGCATACAAGTTTATCACAGGCACTTAGCAAGAAAAGTTTTGGCACTGTTTACAGAGAGTAAAGAAAACTAAAACTGTCCAAATGGGACAAAAGGCCCCCACTGGGTTTTTCAGAGGTGCTAAATCATGAATATTTTATGGATCTATTAGAGAAGAGAGAAATGCTAAAACATTCTTAGTGCAAATGAAATTGCTCATTATATTTTTTTTATAAATGAAACGAAGGCACAGCCTAATAAAAAAAAAATTGACTAAATATACGGACCAGACAAGAGTTATGAACTTTTTCTGTCAGTGACCTTGAACTTGAATAAATGACCTTGATCCAAAGTCATGACACAGCCTCAGGTCATAAGCAATGTTTGTGTGAAGTAGTCGATTCAAGTTTTTCCATAATAAAGATATGTACCAAACATGAATTATGAATTTTTTCTTTCAGTGACCTTGAACTTCCCCAGATGACCTTGGGTCAAGGTCATGACACACCCTTAGGTCATGAGCAATCTTTGTGTGAAATGAGAACCTGCCAAGTTTATCCATAAGAAAGATATGGAACCGACACAAATTATGAAATTTTTCTTCCAGTGACCTTGAACTTGCCCAGATGACCTTGGGTCAAGGTCATGACACACCCTTAGGTCATGAGCAATCTTTGTGTGAAATGAGAACCTACCAAGTTTATCCATAAGAAAGATATGGACCAGACACAAATTATGAAATTTTTCTTCCAGTGACCTTGAACTTCCCAAGATGACCTTGGATCAAGGTCATCACACACCCTTAGGTCATGAGCAATCTTTGTGTGAAATGAGAACCTACCAAGTTTATCCATACGAAAGATATGGAACGGACACAAATTATGAAATTTTTCTTCAGTGACCTTGAACTTCCCCAGATGACCTTGGGTCAAGATCATGACACACCCTTAGGTCATGAGCAATGATTGTGTGAAATGAGAATCTACCAAGTTTATCCACATGAAAGATATGGAACGGACACAAATTATGAAATTTTTCTTCCAGTGACCCCCAAATTACCTTGGGTCAAGGTGATGACATATCCTTAGGCCATTTGTGAAATGAGAACCTACCAAGTTTATCCATTAGAAAGATATGGACCGGACACGACTTATGAAATTTTTGTTTTGTGCTTTGTGTTGAGTAGTAGATTCTAATGTTCCTCTGTAAGAAAGATATGGACCTGACATGTTTGCACAGACAGACGGACAAGCTGATTTCTATATACCCCCTCAAACTTCGTTTGCAGGGGGTATAATAAAGACAAGCATGCCATACCCTGGTATATGGTTTTGTAAATAAATTATCTTAGAAAACAATGGTAATAAACAGTTTGCTCAACATGCTCATGCAGTTATTGTGGTACTATGGATTGAAAATTATTTTAGAATATTTACATCCGCTGAATATTTTCTCCTTTATTTCTTAAGAAAACCGATTGCGTTAATCACTGCATGAACTACAGTCGGCATGTCGCCTGTACAGATTTCTTGATCAGTGGCTGTTCCATCAATGAAACGTATAAAGACATTCGCATCATTAATACAATAATTAATTTTTTTAATCCTACTTTAAATGATTATTTAAACAATATAAATATAAACAACAAAATGCTTTCTTTGTTTGTTATTACTGGAATTAATGGTCGCAGCTACTGCAGAAAAAATTTACATATCCCATTTACGTATTTAAGTATTTTTTCTGCAACAGCTGCTTCCAATAATTCCAGTAATAACAAACAAAGAAAGCATTTTATTGTTTAAAACAAGTGCCTCCTGTGATGCAAATGCATACAATATACAATGTACTTCACAACCCAATCACAGGGGCTTACCACATTATTACTATTGACTGTTTATCCTGCACCAGGGATGGGGTCAATTACATAGGAAAGTAATTAATTAAATTACAATTACTCTCCCAAAACCTTCAATTAAATTACCATTACCATTACATGGATTTTGAAATGTAATTAATTAAATTACAATTACTTTGCAAATGTAATTAATTAAATTACAAATTACATTCAAAAATACACGTATAAAAGTAAATAGTCATGTATATTCCTTTACATTTATAGCAGATTATTTAACAATATTTTTTACAATAATATTATTAAAAGCTTCATACATTTTTCAAATACTGTTTCCCCTAAAAAAATTTGAAGATATCCTTTCCACTGTATTTTTGAGAAAAATGCATAGTATTACATGTAGATACTGACTATAGCTAGTAGAAAGTTTACAAATCGTTTTACCTTAATTCATGTTTAAATTTTGGAATCATTTTTAAGTTTTCCCATAAACAAGTGATAAATTTATGCTAAATGTACTTTTGATGCTTTATTTGCCTTTATATTTCCTTATTTCAGCATCATAGGTTTACCTCAAAATGTGGGTATGCAAACTACAATTTAAAGTCAAAGAGTACAATCAAAGGTAAAAATGTACTTCACAACTTCCAACACAAGCTCCAACAAAAGGATTAGAAGCCATTTGACTTCTTATTTTCATATGGATTTATTAAAAAATCAAAATATGAATTTCATTTGTAAACTTTACAAAGATTAATTTGATTTAAAAGTTGTTTTTTTTTTAATGAAAAGGGGCATTGTATTTAAACATCAATTGACATAAAAAGGAAAATTCTTTTCAAGAAATTTCACTTTTAAAATTTTTGGTCCAAAATATAAGTTATCAACCTTTCATAAATAATGTTTATGAAATTGATTGAGAGGAGACTATTTTTCATTTATTTAAAATCAGTGTAATTGAATGTAATTGAGAAGCAATTGTGAATTACATGCCTTTTTGGAAAGTAATTAATTAAATTACCATTACTTGTAATTGAAAACTTGGTCAATTACACATTACTTTCAATAACATCGAAATTTGTAATTAATTACAGTCAATTACCATTACACATTACCATTACCCCATCCCTGTCCTGCACTATAAAAGTAATGAAATACACTCTCTATTTTTTAATGTAGGGTTGGTCAAAAAGAACCATTGAGAAGCCCTTGTGATCATGGTGATCACGAGTTGCAATTTGTTCTTCCTACTCCTAGAAATTTACAAAAAAACAGTGTTAATCTATCTTTTAAAATATCACATATAAAAACTCATACCAAACTTCTCCCTCAAAAACTTAAAGTTTGGTTGTCCATTTTGGAGTACCCAGTCCTTCCTGCTGTTCCATGTGTCAGTATTCTGAGATGACAAGATGCAGGGCCGATTTCTCAACAAATAGCTTTCAAAGAATTCACTGTATGATTGGTTTGTAAGCACAGCACCTATACGTTCAACGTATATCTTTGAATAATCCCGCAACTTCTTCTTTCTTGCTGTATTACTTGCATCAAGTACAGAACTAGAAAGTTTGTTTATAATCATGGGGGCCGCCATTGTGATTTCTATATATTGTATCTCGATCTCGATCTTAAAGTTATAGCCTTTGCTATTCAAATTATTAATAATCTCATGAGATTTAGATAATCCAGGAGTGTGTTTAGTGAATGTAACAACTAAAAACAAGAAACGGTTTATTATAATAAGCCTTCAACTTCCAAATCTGGCCTAGAAATCCTAGTGTATATAAATTAAAGCAAATATGTTATTTCTGTAATGCTATATATATTTGCAGACTATAAATAAAACTAAATTGACTTGATTTACTTGACTTGAGTTCAAGGTAACTGCATAGCCAAATGTTTAACTCTTATATATATGTACTGAAAACACTGGTTCACATAAACAATTTTATCTATTATTTATTGTGTACATGAAGCACATTTATAGCATAACAATTTATATCAATAACTGATTTACATTTTTAAGTGTATTATAAATTAATTAATAATTAAGAGTACCAGGTAGTGGATATTTCAATGGATCAACCTGAAAAATCCAAATGTGAAGTCTTCTTCAGATAATTCAATTCCATATAGAATGAATTCTCTTTAACAAATCAAATGCTCCTTGTTGATAAAATGAAAAATAAGTTAAGTTTTTATAAATATATTATAGTGCATTATGGCCAGCACTCCTAATAAATAAATGCTCAGTCCCTAGACCTGCTCTACAACTATGTTTGACATCCTATATACTGCATACATAGATAGATAAAAAATTATTTACATGAACAGCTATGATCACTGAAATATTGTATCAGTAGCAAATGCTCCTGCTAGTCTGAATTCATGTCCTTCAATAATAGAACAAGTCATTTTATGTGGAAGGGATTTAGAATAGGGAGCTGGTCTAGGTGCAGCTGTCCTCAGTATATACTCGCGAGCTGAGGGGCGAGGAAAGTCTGGCACAGAGTTAAGTCCTGTGTCTCCTTCCTCATCTTCTATCACCATGTGCAAGTCCTGAAGAAAGTAAATTACGATTGTCAAGTTAAATTTTCAACACAGGAAGATTTCATAGATAGGTAACTTGTTTCAAGCAAACTTACTAACTTATTTGGTTAAATAAAATTGTGAATGCAGTTTGCTAGATTTAAAGTAAGAAGTTCATAACAATGTTTTAATGGTGTACTTAATTTTAATATAGTCATATAACTAAACTAGAGGTTCAATTGTGTACTTAAAACCACAAGACTTTGTGACATGTGACATTCAAAAATTCTTCATGGAAAACGTCCGATAGTGCTAATCAAGCATCTTAATCTTCGTAGAATATACATCTATCTCTTATGTCCCTTTCCAGGAATAATCTGAACACAGTAAGCTGAATTACTTTGGAGAGAACTCTTCAAGCTAACCATTTCTTTGTATAAGAACATTATTTACTCTACATCAACACTATCACTCATCTTTGAGTTTGACATTTTTATCTTACCTTCTGAGCGGCCACAAACAGTTTGTGTATCATGTCCCCAACGGGTCCTGAGGGTCCCCCACTGATAGGGACCTCTGTATGGTGAATTAGGTCACTGATGAACTTCTCCACCTCATCTTTTCCACTAGAACTCTCAATCAAAGATGCTGGAAATTTAGTCTTCAGGGATGTTGCTCTGGCTATTAACGTTTCTGTTAGGTTCAGGAGCTTGAATAATTCCTGATAAAATGAAAGTTATTGTTAGTACTGATGCTGATAAAAATTTTTGAAAGTAAACCTTAAGGGCATAATTATAATAATACATGTATATTTTTGGACTTTGAATGCATGTACCTCATATCTGCGGACATCTTGGTGAGGAGTTCTGGTAACCATTGCTGCCTTTGAAGCCAGGTGTTCTATCATATCTTTCAGTTTTTGGATATCTGAGTCCTCTACGAAAGTAAAATTGATTCTCTGTGTTTAGACTCCAATAGCAATTCATGTACTCTATCAGACAAGAAACTGGAAGGGCAGGAATTTCAAAGGCATAATATATTTTCAAAAGTGTAAATGCCTTTCTGTGTGCATGCCTGCTATTTTTTTTATTTCACTTACCATTATCAATGACCTTGACAACAGATGAATGAACCAGTACTGGTAATAAGTGGACCACAACATCTGATGGCTTCATGGCAGACAGAAAATGTAGTACCTAAAGAATTGTGAAGATCAAATACTTTACATGGATTTAACAGTAGAAAATTTTGATAAATATTTACACATGCTTTTGAGTCTTATTATCGTCCTCTCACCTTTTCCGCTTCTTTTGTGTCATCAAACAGTCTCTTCTGTCTCCTGGCTGGTACTGGTTTGGCACTCTGCCAAGCCTCGGTCCAAATGTTCCCAGGAATCTGCATCCTGGTACTCAAATGACCTTATTAAAACACCAGTATGATAAATATATAGTGTACAGTTCTTATATTTTTCAGAAATCTAATATTTTATTTCCCTTACATTTTAATAAATGAAAACATTCTTACACCAGATTCTCACCTTTGGGATTTTCAGTTGTTGATTCCTCATCCTCTATCCAGTCTCTAGGTGAGTACCACCTGACAAAGTCCTCGATCGTACAGCCTGGATTGGCGGCTTTAAATGACTCCATATCTGATACGAGACAGGCACTCTGCATCCTCGCTCTTAGCTGGGCCCCCTCAGATGATGTGCCTAACCTAAATAATGCAACAGACTGCTGTATTTATATATAAGCGGAAATCATAGGAATCATTCACAGAATGATAAGAATGTTCATAAAAAGCATATGCATTGTTATCATTAAACTTGTATAGATGTAGCCTAAGTTTAATTTTGGGAGATTTATTTTGATAAGGCTATACATTCTCTGTGTTTTGTGAATAGTGTAAGCATTTGTTTTGATAAGGCTATACATTCTCTGTGTTTTCTGTACAGTGTAGAGATTTGATTTGATAAGGCTTTATATGTTCTATGTATTTTCTGAACAGTGTAGGGATTTGTTTTTTCTGCACAGCGTACCTAGCTAGGACCTCAGCATGTTCCTCCAACATGTCCTCTGTCATGGGGGAGGGGTCCTGGGTGATAGGAATGTACAGGGGCTCGTCTATATTTAGAAGTCTGAGGTCGCTCGACTTGGCCAGCCGTCCTTCGGGTTTGTGTGTGACAGAATCTACGAAGGAGGAGGAGCTGGTCACAGAGGTTTCCATGGAAACCACCTCGCCCTCTGGTGTACAAGTTTCCTACAATATAAAACAACAGCTTTTTTATGAGCAAAGCTCTACATGCACCATCATGTGATATTAGCTAACAATATTGTGTTGTCAAAAATAGTACATGAACATGAATTAACAGCTTCTTTACGTTTGCTTTCAAGGTTTCCACTTCCATCTCTGAACTGTCCCCCTCCTCTTCTTCCTCCTCTTCCTCTTCATTCTCACACTCAAAGAACTCCTCCTCACTGGAACTGTCTAAGTGGGGCTTTTTAGCAGGAACATCCTCTTTATCCTTACTATTATCCTGTTTCTGCTTCTCCCCAGAAGGCCGACGCCCACTTTGTTTGCTTTGATCCAATTCTGAAGTAGCACCGGTTTCAGAATCTGAGGTAGATAAATGACTAGATTCCATTTCACCATCAGGACTTGCAGAGTCCTTTTGTTCGTCAAGCGTCTGTCCAGTGTAGCCCTTGTATAACTGTTCTCGCTTGATTTTTCTCTCTATACAACAATTCAACATCTGAAAATAAAACGTGCCTCAAAAATACTAAATGAAGCCCTCAAGATAAACATTACATGTAGTTGTAGAAGCACGTTTAGCCCATTTCTTTTATGTTTCCTTATGCAAAGTGTAAATAATTTATTGTCATTCAAGAATAAGCCACGTGTTACTCGTAGTCATGTAACAAGATCTGACATGTATGTCCTGCACGAGATAAAGCTCCTTGGTAAATACGAGGGTTGTTAGATATTTATTGTGTATTGTACGATATCTCACAAGCATTCGATTCAAATAGTCAAATGGACATTACATCCCTTCAAAGTATTCTCCGTGATTTGAAATACACAATTTTAATCTCTGAATCCATTTCTGAAATGCATCACGGTACACTGATTTAGGTCTACCTCTGAGGCACTGACTGATGACTGACTGACGGCTGAGCCAAGGGCCTGTCGGGACTTGTATCGACGACCAGATAAGAACTTTTTAAGTTTTGGAAAAAGGAAAAAGTCGCATGGTGCTAGATCCAGAGAGTATGGTGGGTGTGGCAAGACGGTAACCTTCTCAGACTTCAAAAATTGCTTCACAAGCTCAGATGTAAGTGATGGAGCATTATCATGAGGAAGGCGAACATGCCTAAATCCCGACACAGGACGTCGTTTCTAATAATATTTCTTGAGCTTTTTCAGTACAACATCTCGGTAATACCGACCTATAACACTTTTGCCCTTCGGCACCGGAATTTGCACGGCTAAACCATCACCAGAGAAGAATATGCAATAAAGGAGCTTCTTTGTGCTCATTGTCCTTTTGGCAACTACAGGCCTTCTACCGTGTTTGGTTAGCCATAATTTGTTTCCAACTTTTCTTACTGGTTCGAAATAGTGAACCCATGTTTCGTCACCAGTAACTATGTTTGCAAATTGTCTTTGATTTTGAAGTTTGGAAACATTTTTAGCAGTCGCTTAGCGGTTTGTATTCGTACCTTTTTTGGTCATCTGTCAATATATGGGGTATCCATCTGGCAGAAATCTTTCGTACTTTCAAAATACGCTTCAAAATGAAATGCACCCGCGATAGCGATATGCCAACAGCTTTGGCAATATCACGAATCGTGTACCTGCCATCACTTTCAATTATTTCCTTGATTTTTGAGACATTTGTCTTACCTGATACAGTCACAGGTCGACCCGATTTTGCTGCATCTTTGACGGACTCTGTGCCAGTCAGAAATTTCTGTCTCCACCTACGAACTGTCTCATAAGATACCTTATCAGACCCATAAACTTCCCCCAATTCAGTAAAAATCTGCTTTACCGAATTACCAAGTTTTGTGCAAACTTTTATATAAGCTCTGATTTCTTCAATATGCTCAACCCGTTTCCCAACCATTTTTACAACAGTGGTCAACAACTGGCTCTATTGAAATGACGATTATTTTATAACCATGTGTAGATGAAGGCTCGTGTTTATACTGTTGGCAAGGTTTTGAATAGAGTTATCCAGGCATATAAATATCGACGAAATCGTGCAAGGCGTTATCACGCTGTGGTACAATACACAATACATATCGAACAACCCTCGAAGACGAATGACTTACCTGTAACTTTTGATAGAGTAGACATGTTCCTAAGTTAGGAGACCCTGGGTCAACTCTGCAATAAAAGATAAAAACTTACTGCTATTAACAGTTGGAGATAAAAAACTAGGACTAGGGTAAGATAGCATTAAGGATAAAATGGTACCATACCATACCATGTACCGGTACCAAATACTGCCTAGGTCCAGTGAATGAGTTAACCCACTCACCCAATCGATTACATACTTGTTCTCTCACTGGAATCTCATCTTAGATACCGGGGGTAGTCCTCTCGCATCATACCCCAACATCTAATATCACTATAGATCTAAAATTAAGACCAGTGATCAAGATAGCATACTCACCCATCGATTAAATACTTGTTCTCCCACCGGAATCTCATCTCTAGGACAAACTCCTGCCATAACTGAGCCACACCACGGATTCCTCCATGATGCATGTTTACCATCACCAAGGCAACAACTAATTTATGGAGCAGACTGTCCTCAGGAGCAGACTTTAACTGTTTAGACAAATCCTGGACAAAGAGAGATGTGATTAATGGGAGAGGAAAAATAAACCACAGACCACTATTCACATAGACAATGAGATATTTAGAAGGTACCGTATATAACACATTTCTTCTTACCTCTGTAATGTGGGAGTATTTACTGATTGGTTTTTCACTTTCATTATCAGTCTTATCATCCTTCTCTAGTTTAGGTTTTGCATCAGGAAACAGAAACTGCAAATATTCATACCAACATTTCAGTATACATTTATACATATCGTGGATGAAGCAAGATTTATCATATTTGATGCATTTTGAAGGTCCATGAATAGGTTACTTTCAGCGGATGAATTGTACTCACATATAACAGGTCCGTGAGAGTGTCTCCATCTATTGGTGCCTGTCCAGGCTTGATAGCCAGTTTACTGCTGGCGGTATGAACCACATTACTGAAGGAAGGAATGCCATACATTTTAGACACCTTTGGTTCAGTCAGTTTCTGTAAAGCCTGGCTAATATCACCTGTTTGATCTACAAAACAGAAGTGTTAAAACTATGTTAACTCTAGCGATTAATTAATTTGAAAGTAATGGAAAGTTAATGAAACTTGAAGGCTTTTTCCATTACATAGCTACAGTAGAGACTTATTAATCTAAATGCTTCATCTTCTGAATGAAATCTTTAGGGAACAGAATTAATATTTATATCTGCAGATTTTAATATGTCTGTTTCAGATGTTCATTAATCTGCCTGGGAACACAAACACCTTTATCAATGAGGTTCAACTGTTACTAAATACTTTAACCTTACAGCTAGTGAATGCTATAACAATCTCACCATCTTCTTCTTTAGATAATACATTCCACAGTAAATCCTCAACTGTATCTTTTCTGTGTGAAATTTTCATAAAATCACCCAAGTATTTACCTAAACCAAAGACACATCCTTACTATTGAGTTATCATACTTTAAACATATATAAGATATCAGCAAATTTAATACACATAAGCATGTTCTTACATTGATTCTAATCAAAAGCTCAATCACTACTGTTGACTATGAAAAGAGAAGAAAGTTATATTTCTTATACGAATAACTTTGGTCAGACAATGGTTTAGACACAAATCAAGGAAAATATTTCCTTGCCAGAGGAATGTGAACTTTCTCAGAAGTTAATTAATTTAACATCAAAATGCAGTAACTTACTACATCTTTTCTGAAAGAAAGTAAATCTATGCAAAAAATGCAATTAATTTACCCCCTACCATTCAAAGAGCACCTGACTTTTTCTAGCACTAAATTAGTATGTAAAGTTAATTACAAATAATTGACTTACGGACAAATGACTCACCAAGAAGACAGTTAGGATCCTCTGTCATGATGATACGTACAGCCCATTGTGGGGCCTGCATGGGGTCAAGGTCACTGAAATGTCAACTCACAAACTTTACATGAGAGCAATGAACAGATGTCTCAAGTATAATAAACAGTTTGATTTAGGCATGCACTTAAATTTATATGTATTATCAATGAAATATGGCATAAATATTGCCAACTCAGCATAAACCAATGGACTATAAATTATAAATAGATTTACCTAATATCAGTTATGAATATGTAAATATATACCTGTAGCTCTGGTTTTCAACAATCATGTCCTCAGATAAGCTTGGCCAAGTGCATGCCAGCTGCATCTCACTAAAATGTAATGCATATGATATATACAAATGTGTACTGGTACATGGAATACCGAAAATTCAACATAATTGTAGTTTTTACTTTATAAGCATTCTTTTTGAAGAAATGAATGTGGCTCACCTTACTGGATCTTCGCATGCCCCAAATGGCAGATTCCCGAAATCTGAACAACCAACTTCATCTTCCATTGGAGATGACAAATCTTCGAATAGAAGAAACACATACAATAGATATTTTTTCCTTTATGACATGAGAAAATATAATTTTTAAACAATTAAAATGAAATATAATGGAATAACAGTATCTTAAATTTGAGGGAATTCGGCAAAACGTCAAAATATCCATAGGTTTGAGATATCCAAAGTTGTCTTTCTGAATCATTAACTTCCTGTATGTTTGTAAATATCTTTTCATATACGTGTGTATGTGAAGTTTTGTCAATCCATGCTATTAGAATTAGAAATATGTCCATAGAATATGCAGCATACAGGGTTTATTTGTATTGCAAACATGAAAATTTGTTGAAATGTATGAATTCCAAGAAAATACATGTATCTTGAATAGTTTCTTTAAACCTACAGAGTAAGTTTTATACTCAATAATAAGTAAAGTCAATGATCACTGGAGAGGGCAAGTAAATAAATTTGGATACAGTTGAAGTTGATAAATTTTTCATCAAATTAAGTATCACTGCAGAAGCTTACACACTAATATTTTGACTTGCTTCTTCGAAACTGAGTGCATTGAAGGTGACAATATGACTAATCATGGACCTGCTGTTCCTGAGAAGACTTTTTCTACATCATTTCTTATTCATTCCTGTATAAATCAATATTTTACATCTGATCTCTCTTTTGAGTGGTTAGAGACTTGGAACTGACATGTTATAAAATAGCTTGCATTCGAAGGAAGGGAACTCTAATCTTAAAGCTTCACCTGTAAAAATCACAGAAGCACACTAACATCCTGTCACCATGCATTATCTTACCTGTAGATTTAAACTGTACTAAAAGTAAAGAAATTCATAAAATTAAGCCTACTGGCATAGGTTTTCATCAAGTGACCTTTATTACATATGATATTACATTAAATAACCTATCAGGGGAACTACTTGGAATTTAATGTTCTTGAAAGTGATTACTTTTGTCATTCCTTTAATATTTCTAATAGCTCTAAATAAAAATATTTTTATGGGCCCAAATCTGTCTGTCTGTTTGTCTGTCTGCTGTCAACTTTAACCTTAGACATAACTTTTGAACTGTGAGAGATACAGACTTCATATTTGGTATGCGTACTCCACTTATTAAGCTTTTTCAAATGACACCAAGGTCATTGACCTTTTGACCTTGACTTTGACCTATATGCTAAAAATAGCTTCTTCAAACTTTGTTGCCGCCGGGCGCATTGTGTTTCACAAACACATCTTTGTAATAAGAAATGGATATTCACATAATTATAAACATTTTAGATTTTAATTTTTTAAATGGGAAAAGGGCAGTTTAGCCACCTTTATTGAAAATTAAATTTAGACATCTTCAGTGGACTTATAGTTCTATGACTTTTTTTTTTGGTTGATAAACCTTGTTGCCACAGGATACAATCATGTGATACTGGTACTTATATTTAGTCTTGAAATGTTATTTTTTTTTAAATCAGTGGAACAATTCCAGGGTTATATTATTCATGTACATACCTGGGGGTTCCTGAGGCCATGCAGCATTGTGCCACTCTGTCAATATATAAGTAAACCTTACAGCTACCATCACTGTAGGTCGTGGCATTACTTGTGTTGCCTAAGAAACAAAAAAATCACAGATATTTATTTAAACAAATCAATGAGGTAGTGCAGCTACAAAAATTATGAAATTTTCTCAGATTTTTTCATGATCTGTTGTTGTTTAACTCATATCTGTTACAAAAACGTTTCCTGTTGGATTTATATATATTTAAGTCTCTCCAAATGTAAAATGTGAGGAAAGAAATAGAATAGTTAGGTCACCATCTTGGCCTTGAAGATATCTAGGAGTCCTGAGAGGTGGTTGAACTGAGGGGGAGGTGATTTAAGGTGGATGACATCAAAGTCTATAGAGGAGCCGGGTAACACACAAGCTCCACAGAACATCTGTCTCCGGTACTGCTGGACTTGTATGAACACTGGGACAGGACTGAAATATTGCATAATCATTAAAAATAGTAATTCAGGAGCACCACATGCTTATACATTATGAAACAGTCAATCAATATCATACACTTGAATGTGTAGACTCGTTAAGAAGCTCATTAGCCATGATAAAGTTCCCATTAAAACTTTGATTGCCTTTTTTACCCAACCCTACCACTGGGGATCATGATTTAAACATCTTGAATCTACACTATGCAATGAAGCTTTAATATAAGTTTAAACTTTCTGCACAAGTAGTTCTTGATCAGGTGATTTTTGAGTTGAAGTTGAAAGAAGTTGAAAAAAAAAGAACATTTTACATTCAGAGGGATACCAGAAAAATTGTGATCAGAATACTGTAAAATCACATATTTTTGTGGGGTCAAATTTTCGAGGTTTGAGAAAAAAATATTGATATGTGGAAATTTGATTTTGTGGTTAAAGAAGTGTTGAGTAATAATGCATATTTAATTTTACATTTCGTGTTGATTATGAATTCGTGGGTCTTTACATACCTCGAAAACAACAAAAATTAACCCCCCACGAAAACTAGTGATTTCACAGTAGCTCTTGTTAGCTTTCAGCTCAGGTGAGCTGAAAATAAACTTTTTTAAAATACAAAACTGCATATACATTTAATTAGATCTGCCTCACCTTCCTGTGTTGTTTAAAGCAATGGAGACTGAACTAAGCAGAATCTTAACCCTGCTTTCTGAGTCTATGGCGGCAGCTGACTGGGACGGTGTAATCACCAGAAATTCCTGTAATCCATACCTGTAATGGTAACATATTTATCACTGTGGAGTTAGATTTTAATGCTAAGAAATATATCAATAAGAACTTACGACCTACCATCTTGAAAGACAGTGTGCTTTTGATGGGAAGTCATTGTCCAAACTCATCATGTCTGCCATCACTGTGGGTAACGTCTCTAGAAAAATCAGTAAAAGCTATTAAACAATTTATATTTAACTAAAACTGCAGTGATAAAATAACGCCTTCTTTTCCCACCTTTAACAGTTCGAAATCTTAATCTTTCTATCTTTTTTTTAATTCTGGCTTTCCTTGAAGGAGTTTTACTGCATGGTATTGTTCAATCTACTTATGTTTATCATAAACTAAAACAAAAATCAACCTACATACCCTCTGAACTTTTTTTTTCTTCTGAGTCATCGTCAGGACTTGGCCTTGACTCTTCTCTTGACTTTGGGAGATCATCTCGCTCCAAATAATTGTATGTCACTAAAAAGTCAAAGTCTGCAAAGCTGATAGGTTCTGTTCTCTCACGCCATTTCCCTGTGGTAAGGCTACCCTGTGATAGAGGTTGTAAAATCACATTGGCTTTTAAAGATATAGAACATGATTTATATAATTTTTCAATTCCTTTTTTTAGATGATTTAATAATTTTTTCAATAATTTGAACAACAATCAAAGGCAGCAATGTTCCTGTAAATATTGATTTCATATTCAATCTTTTCTGAGTTATGTTTTTTTTTTCTCTCACCCTTGGGGCTGGTGGTAGAGGGCTATGGTTTACTAACTTCCATTCATGTAAAACTTCCTCAAGGCGAGCCACAAATCTGCAGCAAATGACATCATATTATATTGATAGCACTCAAAATCATTATTCCAGAAAATAACGTATAGTTATGATTATAAGTGGAATTTTCAGAGACACATAAATTAAGGGATTTGTCTATCAAATTCAGTATTTAATTTACCAAGAAGTATATTTAGCAATTTTATGGTGTAAAGAGAGATAATGGTTTCCTTGAGTGTGAAATAAATTGTTAGCAATATTCAACTTTAGTGATCTCAACACACTTGCTAAAAATGCCGAAACTGAATTCTTGCTGAAATTTCTGACTATACAGTAAAACCTGACATTGCATCCTAACTAAGTATAACTCTGTACACATTGTAACTGGTAGACTACATAATACAGCAATATCTAAATCATTTCATTATTACATGTAGTAGTTAACCAATCTAGTGTCTTGTTTATGATACATGTACCTCTATATTCTCAGACTTACTTTTTTAATTATGACTTTTCTCAAATGTGAAGCATACTAGTATAATTATTCAATTTTATGTCTGCTATCAAGATTAAGTGAATGTCACTCTGATATTAAAATGAGCTAAATGATTATTGAACCCAGTTCTAAATAAATATTTCTGACATAGATAAATAAATGTATATGAATATATCAAATATGAATTTTTTATCCAGTATAGCTGTGATTATCTCCCCCTAACTATTTCATAACTTTACATGGTGTTCCAACATATCACTGATGATTTTCAGAAGAAAACTTTAAATTCACTTTCCCATGAAATACCATGGACTACTTTATCACACCTAGACTTCAATCTTTATGATGTTTTTATTAAGCGTGTCTGGGTTCATATTAAACTGTGTTTTATGCACCTATGCCTAAAATGTCATGAATTTAATATCATACAGAGATTACCTGGAACCTCAAATTTTCATATCTCAAGGATATAAAAAACTGTTGTTTATAAAAATAAATTCACAATAAAATCCAACCATTAACATGGAATTTAACATTTATAAGCTTTTTAAAGGTACTTGGACACAGATTTGAAGTAAATATTTTCTGTATCATATCACGAATTATATACATTGTATTTTAAAAGCATTTCACACAAAAATTAATTAAAAATCTTTTTTTATTTAAAAGTTATTAAAACTTCAAATTTTTTGGCGGGTTTGATTGACACATCCTTGCACTTTCACAAATTTTAACTTTATTCTTAATCCTTCGGTAAAGTGGCAATCTTTTTGTGTATTAATGAGAAATATTAAAACTTTAATCCAGAAAAATAATTTTTTCAGAGTAGAAATGTTACAAAGCAAAATTCCTTCACAAGTACCGTCATTCCGAACTAAGTCTTGTGTGCAAATCGATCACACTCGTGTTATGTACACAGTTTTTGTAAACATGGCAGGAGCTCTGTTATTGTTGATTGTTTACGATTCACTGGGTGCGTTCAATGGTCAAAGTCTGCTCACCACAACTGCACAGACTGAGAATATATTGTGTGTTTGTTTTGCTTTCGAACATGTCTACCCTGATTTTTCTGGATTATAGTATTAATATTTATCATCTATACGCAACAAGATTGCCACTTTCCCTAAGTATTAAGAATAAACTTAAAATTTGTGAAAGTGCAAGGATGTGTTAATCAAACCCGCCAAAAAATTTAAAGTTTTAATAACTTTTAAATGAAATAAGATTTTTAATTAATTTTTGTGTGGAATGCTATTAAAATATATAAGTCGTAATATTATACAGAAAAAATTACCTCCAAATCTGTGTCCAGGTACCTTTAAAATCATTGAATGCATTTTTTCAATAAAAACAAGGGACCCTTGGGACTTGACACTGACATGAGTGATCTTAGTTTTAGTATTCATCGCAAAAAAATTAAAATAATTTGTTTCTTGTCTTTTAATTAAAAAAAAAAAAATTGCACCTCCCCCCATATTGTGGGCCCACTCAAGTTCCAATGAGTCACATTTTGGAGACTTTTTTTTCTTTTTTACATATGCATTATGAAAAATTTGAGTAAAAATTGAAACTTGAACAAAATTAAATTCTTACAGCTTGGAGTGCATTTACCCAGGAATGCTTTTTGGAAATTTTTCTCTTTTTTTCGGAAAGAGCTCAGTTCACTTTATGCATAAAACTACAATATAAATATGCCAATTTATTGACTAACACTTCATGTTCCATTTTGAACATCAAAATAAAGTAAAAACTTATTACTTTCATTTCCTATTAAAATTTTTCTTCTTAAACTCCAGGTCTTGGAACACAGGCTTTATGAAATTGCAATGTTCTTGAATCTTAAATTTTAATGGAGACGGGTATATTTGCTTACATTCAGAGAAGAAAAATAATATGAACCACCCTCTGATCTAAAGAATAAAACATGTCTTGTAATCCTCAGAAAGAGTTCTATCATTCACTAGTTGCTTATTTTAGATCAGAGGTTGTGATCTATATAAATTATTGAAAAATAGCTTTACAAATTGGCTGTTTTCGTAGACTTTTCAGAATATGAGGAATTTGACACATTTTGTGGCATCATAATGCATTGACTAGCCAGAAAATTACGTCATTTTTGGTAGACAAGCAATCACCAAAGGTCTAAATGATATTTAATGCATTGTTAACTAAATTAAGCAGTTTCAGTTTTTCAGAAATTTACAGGGCCAAAAAAAGGGCATAAGTGAACCTTGTTCTTTGTCCAGTGGATATGGAGAATAATCCAAAATGTGGAGAGTTAACAGATGATGAAACAAACTGACATAGACAGAGAAAAGATAAACAACTGGTGATTAAATAACTGCTTAAACTCAGGACAGCTAAAATGAGACATTTTTTTTTATTCAAAGGTTCAAAATGTTATATTATTTCATCATATAGAACAAACAGGAGGCCTATGGGTCACATTGCTCCCATGAGCACTGTGGCTAGGAAAAAAAACAGAAATCAGTTTATTATTGAAAAGTTTATACCCAAAAGTGGTCCTAACCAATCCTTAAAGGGCATGATTTGAACAAACTTGAATGTACACTAACTAAGGATGCTTGCATATTTCTTTGACTACCTGTGGCTTTATTGCCCTTCACATTTGAACTTAAATTGTGCAACCGCATCATGGCTTTGCTATCCTTAACAAGAAGATTTTTTAAGAATTTTCCTTTATATTTCTATGTAAAACTTTGATCGGCCATTGTGGTCCCACCCTACCCCCAGGGGTCATGATTTGGAAACTTGAATCTACACTACCTAACATGAGGATATTTCCTCATAAGTTTCATCTTTCCTGGCCCAGTGGTTCTTGAGAAGAAGATTCTTAAAGCATGCTACCAAATTTTCTCTATTTCTGAATTATCTCCCCTTCATTTGAACAAACTTTAATTCCTTTTACCCAAGGATGCTTTGTGGCAAGTTTGGTTGAAATTGGCCCTGTGGTTCTGGAGAAGAAATCAAAAATGTGAAAAGTTTACAGACAGATGGGCAGCTCGACAGACAGACGGACGCCAGACAAAATGTGATCAGAAAAGCTCACTTGAGCTTTCAGCTCAAACAAAAAGCCCTTGCGTCTTAACTGAGTATCATATGGATGGGGTTTCTCCAGATTTTTGTGTTGTGATATATATACAAGCATGGTAAGAACACCAAAGGATGAAATGTTAAACAATACAAATATACAGATCTCTGAAAAAATCAGAGTTGGAATCAGGTGTCATTGAAGAGTAAGCATTCCCTGACAACCAAATCTATGAAAAAAATCAGACATGGGACCAGGTGCCATTGAGGAGTAAGCATTCCCTGGCTACCAGTCACACTCCTGATGGGCTCCTTGTAATCAATGGATAAATGAAAGAATATGTAGACAATTAAATATAAAAGCAAAGGCCTGACAATTTGTATGAAAATCATTCAACAACATTGAACCTAATGAGAGTTTGTATTTGTACAAGTAATTATGAAATGTTGAATCTGAACAAGATTGTTAATACCTTTGATTAATCAACTTACAACTGTATTTATCAACAGACTTCTTTTTTTTAATTGTAGGTACGCAGATATGGCAACAAACGAGAGACATCATATACATGGTAGATATATATAATATCGCTATATATAAAAGGGAAAATGAAGTTAGTAAAGTTGAATTCACCAAAGTTTGTTGTTCTCCTCTTGTGCAATATCCAAATACATGTATAAAACAGATGTGTCTGATTCTGGAGTGTCTTTTATTTCAAGTTCAGTTTGATGTAGTGTATTTTATTATTGTCTATAGCTGTTCGATATTTATTTTAAATCAAACAAAAACTCATTCATTTAACATAAACACGTTTTAAATAAAAATGAGAATACTAGAATTTTTTTTTTTTTTTTTATAAAATTGGACATCCTCATCACCATTACCATTAATCAAAATGCACAAAATTTAGTCAATGCATTTTGTGAGTTATACACACTATTCTATAACAATTCTTTCTTTGATTTTGACATTGTTGATAATCAGGAGTACAAACCTTTCCCAGTCAGAAGCTGTGGTGAAATCTGTAATCTCAAACACATCAGCATCCTGTTGACAGAAACAAAGCTGTTATATTACTGGGGGTAGACATGCAGAATTTAAGCAAAAGCTCTAAAGGCTTTAATAAATAAAAGCTCCTTTGCTCAAAACTTAAAAAAAAAAATTTATAAACTCCTTTTCATTTTATTTAATTTGGGTAAAAACCTGGCTCATCATTTCAGCACTTTGGAACTTAAAACAGTGGTTAGAGCATTTGCATTTGCTCTACAGTCATAGAGTATTAAAGGAGTTGATTGTGGGTTCTATTCAGAAATCAGGTAAAGATTTCAGTGGCAGATACAGGAATTTGGTAAGGGGGGGGGGGGCAGTAAAAGGCACCCCCCTCCCGTTTGAATTTTTTGTATAAAAAAATCTATATGTCCATATTATCCTAAAATCAAGGAAAAGACAAAAACTTGTATTTGTAAATTCAAATGGAGGGGGGTTGCATGCCGGTACAGGATCCTCCTTTTGATTTCATGAATCAATATTTCAAAATTGTCTCTGTAAATTTTGACTTCATGTGCCATCACAGTCTAGACTGTGTCTTCTGTGGTCTGCGGTTTGATGTTTGAAGATCGAGGCAGAGCAACGATTCAACTGTAAACTGACTTTAAAGGACTGTGCTCACCCCAACGGTCACACATATTATTTATTATATATTCCTTAAAACTTTTCAATAAAGAATTTAATTCTAAATATGACTATACAGTTTCTAGTGATTTGCCACGGCTCTCAATTCTCTAAATCTGCAATATCAACACTAAAAGATAGTTATGAAAAAGCTAATGTAGTTTCATAAATAGCCTACATAGCCATGTTTGTTCTATTTAACTGTTTATTCAAAACCAGAGTTAAATTGATGACAAAATGCTAGAAAAGTTTGAGGATTTTTTTTTAATGAATGTTGGTAATCCAATTTTTCCCAAAATGACGATAATTTTCCCAATTTGAATGGCCCCTGTCCCAGTCCAAAAAAATGGTGTGAGAGCCCTGAATTTGCAGAAACTCATTTTCAATGATTTGGTTATAAATATGATATTTTCTGTATTTAAATAAAAACAAGACTTGTTTACAATATGAAGAAAGTTCGATCTGTATCTCCTTTGTAAACCAGTAAATGATGTTCAATTTTTTGCTGATCATTAGAATTGTTTTAATTAGGAACTGTAAACATTGACATTGGATTTTAAATTAGGTGAAACTGTGTCTATCACTATCACTATCAGATGTCTATGTCCCTTTAACAAGTTAAATGCCAGTATTGGTTAAACTGACATTTTGATACAGATCATTCATAATCTAAAAGATTTAATACACGAGGAAGGACAATTACATCATTTTATTCATCATTTAGCAAAGAGGGAATGTTACAATCTGTAATTTTCATGATTTTTGTCCACTTACTTCGTCAGCTGCCATTGTATTGATAATATGGATTAAATGTATTCCGAGCCCGACCAGAAAAAAAAATCAAATGAAAACTTTCACGCACTTCCCCCAAAAATCTTTTGACGAAAAAAAAAATCTCACATAATGAGGAGACGACACACGTATTGAGGAGACACATCCACCAATAAAATACTTGTATTCTATGAACAACACACAGGCACTTGATTCTTGCATTATTATTTTTACTCAAAGGATTTACAGGGACGTAGCAACAGGGAGGACCAGGGCAAAAAATTGGAATTGTAATTGAAAGTAACTTGGCTTTGAAAAAGTTGCCCCCCCCCCCCACCCCCACGAAATAAGATTTTCGAGTTTGGGCAACTTTTAATTTTCCGTTTTTTTTTTTTTTTTTTTTTTGTTTGTTTTTTTTTTTTTTGCTTGTCAACTTTTTCGGGTTAGTGAAAAAAAATTTCTCTGGTTGCCCCCCCCCCTTTGAAAAACGATGCTACGTGCCTAATTTACTATACATGTACATGCATGGGTTATAAAAAAAATATTACAGAATTCAATAAAAGTGCTTGTGGCACAGTATATTAAACAGGGTTGGATCCACGAAAGAGGAAAGGGTCTAAAAATGTCAGACTCATAATTTTTTTTTTTTTTTTTTTTTTGACATGGAGAAATTAGTAGTATGAAACAATTTGTTGTCCAAAACCTGAAAATCCTACTCACCGAAAAAAAGGGGGGTGTTCAACATATCCCTTTTAAATACTTAGAAAATGACTTGTTTATAGTACTACATTTTTGCAGTTCTGAGATTACAAGGAGGTCCCGTCCCTCCAATAGATCCTACCATGTTTATTAATCTTGAGTGTCTGTGGGAGGGATCGTTTTCTTTTTCAAATTTATATGTTATTAAACCATGTCTATATATGAGATACTTGCCTTTAATTTCTATTTTTGCACAAAAACTACGTATATGTAGGGCTTTCAATCTTTCGATGAAACCTTTTAGTCAAGAAAAAGAACTTGAAAGTATTCGGACCTATACCCATAATCTTAAATTCTGGAGCAAAGGTTTTTCCTCCCGGCGAGCAAGAGTAAACTTTTATTACAGAAACGACATACATGGAAGAAAGCGATGTTATTTCACAGTGGAGAATCAAGAATATTCAAGGGGTTGGGGATTCTTAGCAGGATGAGGAATGGGCTTTTGAGGGCGTAAAAAGTAACTAACAAATATACAAGTTTGAAACAAGTGCGGATCCAAGATTTTTTTCCAGGGTGGGAGTTACCCTCAGTTGAAAAATCAACCAAGAAGAGGGGGGTAGCTGCTTTCTTCTTTTAAAAGATAACTGCTCACTTCTTAAGCTTCGATCATAAGTATGACTTTTCAGTCCTCATATATACCAACAATACGGGTCAGAGTTTGAGGTGGGAGGGGGGTCACCCGTAACTCTGCAAATTGTGGGCCAAATCCATCTAGATCCATGCATAAGCATAAAATACAAAAGGTATAGATTCTTATAGTTCCTTATTTATTACGTCCAGTGTCTAGGGGTTTAGATCACTCCTCCTGAATCTCGCGTAAGTATGCTTTTATTCAAGTACATGTATCCGTAAAAACTAATCAACCGTGCCTATCCAATGATCAACAATCCTTTCTTGCATAAAAAATACATTGCTAATATTCAATTTAAAGAAAAAGGTGAAACCCTGGAAAGAAAACACGGATGTAAAAAAATATATTTTTATGCTACAAAAAAGTTACATTTAACATTCGACTTATTGTCGGAGTCGTCGCTTCATTGGTTATTCCCGGTACATTAATTCTCCTAAATGGAATATTTATACTTTATTTATTTTCTAGCTTTTTGGAGAACGTTTTGGGAAATGACGTCAAATAGAAACAATTGAGGATCCGTGTACCCATGGTACGTAAAAAAGGTATCTTTATTATTAAAATTTAAAGTGTACATGATGTTAATGAACTGTTTTATAACTTACTTTTTCATAAATGTCACGCTTACATTTTATATAATTGATGGTCTATCAGCCTCTGAAGCATGTCGAATCAAAGTCTCAATTTCATAAATTCCAAATATTTCTCAAACAATTTTGTTCTTATGTTTTAATTTTGATGCAACTATAACACGCTTTTTTCGAATCCCATGTGTCTCAATATAGTATAAGAACCATAAATTAGAAATAAAACAAATCAAAACATTAAAATTAAAATTAAAATTACTAACATAAAGTGCAAGAAGTAATTTTGATATTAAATTAAAGATCTTCAAGTTCACAGGTCGGATGCAAAGAATATTGATTTTGAATTTAATGATAAAACTTAGAGTTTCCTTATACTTGTATATATAAATCTCTATACCAGGGACAAAACATGATTTCACACAGCTAAACACCAACCAGCAGAATAATAACAGTGGGGGATCCAGGAATTTTGTAACGGGGGGGGGGGTAGAAGGCAGGGGTTCCTGGGGATTGCACTTAAGCCCCCAGTGGGTAAAGGGCAAGGCCCTATAATTGGGTTCAGCTGACAATTTCTTACAAGTATGAGATGTTTTTTTTCCTTGATTTTAGGATAATGGACATATAAATTCAAGGATAATGGACATAATAAATTTTACATACAAAATTCAAACAGAGAGGGGGGGGAGGGCACACCTAGCACGCCAGGCCTGGATCCGCCTTTGAATAAATGAACAAGTTTTATTTAAAAGACACAATCAAACAAGGTAAATAGAAGACGAACAGCAACGAAAACACGCTCTCCTCTCTAGAGCCAACATTTATCATCAATCACCTTCTAGGGTTCAACATATTGCATATATTTTTATCCTCCCGTTGAAGATCAGGGCCCCCAATCAAGGTTATATAGTTTTTGACAAGTATCTCCATTCGTCGGTTTATTTGTCTTCAAATCTGTGCCATTTGCCTATATAACTTTTGCTTGGGCGGGGCTAAGGCTTTCATATTTCACAAATCAGGGACGTAGCAACATTACTTTTACTATAGTAAATGTTTATTGAAAGGATGGTTGCCCCCCCCCCCCCACTTTTTACCATAGTATAGTGATATGAAGGAATTGGAGGGAAAAAATTGGAAGTGAAAGTAAGTTGGCTTTGAAAAAGTTGGCCACTAACCCCCCCCCCCTCCCCCCTCCATGAAATAGGATTTTCGAGTTTGGGCAAATTTTTAATTTTCCGGTTTTTTTTTTTTTTTTTTGCTTGTCAACTTTTTCAGGTTAGTAAAAAAAATTCTCTGGTTGCACCCCCAACTTTCAAAAACGATGCTAAGTGCCTGCAAATGTATTCCATGTGACAGGACCAACTTTGAATTCTCGACCTTGGAGTTTACAAACAATTTTCAAACTTCATCCCTGACCATAACTTTTGAACATTTGATACAAGGGCTTTAATACTTCACACATGTATTCACTGTGACAAAACCTTTCAATGGGTTTTTAATATTTTTTACCCTTTGACCTTGTCCTTTGAGTTTAACCCACTTTTTATCAACTTTTACCTTGGTCATTACTTTTTACGAAAGTCCAATTAATGAGCTCATTTTCGTAGGTAAGAAAAATATTTTTTTTCGCGTTATAACGCAAAACTTTCACAAATTAACGCGTAATTTTCGCGTTAAAACGCGTTACTTACGCGAATAAACGCGTAACTTTCGCGTTATGACGCGAAATTTTTAAGAAATAAGGTATCATTTTTTGAGTTTTATTGAGATGTAAAACGGGTTGGTCACGTGATCAAATCCCATAAAGCCCGAAGGGCTTTATGGAAGATTTGATCATGTGCCAACCCGTTTTACATCTCAATAAAACTCAAAAAATGATACCTTATTACTTATATTTACATTTGTGACTTATTCATACTTTATATTTGCCTGATTGTTACTATATACGTGTGAAATGCGTTATTTTTCAAACCCAACGGCATGTATGTTATCCACTAAACGCGCGTCGACCCTTTATGACGTCACAGAGAAATTACGTCGAACGTTTATCCAAACGCACATCTTTGACCTCTTGACCCCGTACCTGTATTTAAACACTTATAAAAACGCTTGCCTTCAGTAGTGTTATATAAAGGAAAACATTTGCAAATGTAAATATTCGCGAATAAACGCGTAACTTTCGCGATATAACGCGAAACTTTCGCGTTATAACGCGTAACTTTCGGGTTTTAACGCGAAGCTTTCGCGAATAAACGCGTCACTTTCGCGAAAAAATATGATGCGAGAATAGGACAGCTTAGTCATCAGAATATTTTATTTTTAAAACCTTACTATTGAATGAATTTTACTTTCTTGTACATGTTTTACAATTGTTAAATTCTTCAGACTGATTATTTCGCAAGAAAAAATCTCCACTTAACATTTTTAAGATTTTTTCTATTTTTTAATCATTAACATTTACTACAACTGTACCACTAGTTTAAGGAATCACTGTCTAGTTAGGAGAGTATGCCTGGGCATCAACAATAGTGGGAAACATGGGATAATTTGAATAACGGGCGAAGCCCGTTATGCTAAAATTATCCCATGTTTCCCACTATTGTTGATGTCCCTGGCATACTCTGCTAACTAGACAGTGATTCCTTATATTTTCATTTCATTGCGAAATAAAATGGTAGATTTAGACTTTAAAAATGTAGATATAGACTTAAATTACACGAGGACTTCCATGCCAATTTCAATAGTCCTCGCCCAATGACGTCAAACACCTAGGCAGCATGCACATTTTGCCTCCTTAGCGTCAGACATAGAGACAGATGCGCACGAGATTTGCATGCATTTTAGGCCTCCTTAGCTCCTGACCTATCGACCTGCCTAATTTACATTCCGGCAGAATTATCAAGAAATAAACTCCGACAACTTTCAAAGAGTTATCGCAGAGAAAAAAAATTAGAAATGGAAATATATATTTATTAATCAGTTAACCATTTTGGACAAAAAAATATACACTGAAGAACCATAACTTAAAAGTGAATGAACAATGTATAATTTCATTGTCTCCAATATTTTTATATTGT